AAAGTACAGCGCGCAAAATAATAACTGTCGCACAGGTTTTTTGAAAACTAAAAGGGTTCTTTATAGATTTTGTGTTTTTGGTTTGTTAACTTTGTGTTGTAGTTGCTAATTAAGGTTACATTTTACTTTAATTTTATTAATTGGTTTTAAAATTTTAATCCTATTTTGCATTTGCCAGCTTTGGGAGATAAGTACATGCGGCACGAACCTTTTTTTCAGATGTATTTTTTCTTAGATTTTGTATAAAAAAAAAGATAAAAAAAACTGTATAGGGTTGGTCGAATGAATGCCCTCCTAGTCACCAGTTTCGAGTCTTTTCGATTGCTGAGTACGAGGCCTTAGTTGTATGTGAATGGCCCTTAACAGTATTTTAAAATGGGATAAACAGGAAGTTTTTCAAAGAATGGGATTTTCGTACCTTGGAGTTGGCAACACTGTACCCCACACGAATCATGCATGCATGTACGTATCGATACGAAAAACAACGTTCCCGCACAATAGGTTTGTATAGTAACAAATAGTCAGTACTAATTTATAAAATAATAAATAAATAATAAACAACATTTGGTTTCAGCAAGTTATCGTGGGATATCACACCTCTGGATTTTTTTCTTTGGGGTGTTTACCAGAGAGCAGCTTTGAGTATGATCGAGCCTTTTTGATCACCCTCACTAAAAATCGAGCACAAGCGAACGCCACACTCGGCTACTATGTGTTCGATCGAGATGCACACCCAACAGCTGCTTTGAGTACGAACGAGTCTGTTCGATCACCCTCGCTATAAATTGAGCACAAACGAACACCACACTCGGACACCCGCAACTAACCCGAAAATTTGTGTAACAATGAAGCGGACACCCGAACATTGCGATAAAATGCAGAACAACAATGAAATTTACGCTGAAGATAACTGGGGCCAATATGTTCCAACAAAGCATACGAAAATGTTGTTGCTTTGTGCTTGTGCATACGCAATGAAAAAAATTAGAAGCGAAGTAGGTCGGTGTTATGCAGAAATTTTGTTTGGCAAACTGCGTGCAATTGTTGTTGCAGCAAACTCGGAGAGAGCGAGTTTGGCGACTCTCACAGCAAACTAATTTTGTTTGGTCAAACTGCAGCAAATTCGGCGTTGTCATATACAAAAATTTTAGACAATTGTTGCTATACACAAAATTCTCATTTCGTGTTGGCAATAGCCATGAAAACCATAATGAACGTGCAACCCTGTGCCAAACTCGGCATAACCACCTCGGAGCAAACTAAGCAGCCGCCATTTAATTTGACAAACAAAATTTGTCTGCATAACACCGACCGTAGACAAAAATGTTTGTGCATCTGCCCCGTAGCGAATGTCATGCATTAGTCACCTAAGAGTCTTGTACGGAAAAGTTACGTCTTAAATGACGTTGGACTCCGTTTGTATGGAAGTCGTTCATGACTTTTTCATATAAATGGTAATTTCGTCGTTGATGTCACCTGCATGACTTGGTTATGCAGTGATCATTAATGACATTCAAGCGACAGCATCTTGCAATGGAATTTTTATAAGTGACCGCTGCAAGACATTGTCTCTTATAAGTCTTTGATAGGAGTACACCTGCATGACATTGTCACCAGTGTCATTGTCAGCTATATGTCGTTTAGGATTCCCAGCAAGTGTGACGGTGTCACTAAATCCTCATTAGTGACGATGTCACCGGTGACCATTTCCCTACTGGGTATTTCGTATAGTTTCGCGTGGAATGCTGTGTGTGTATATATGTATTAGAACACACAGCCTAAAACTATGTATGTAGGTACATAAGTACTTTTACAAAAAAAAAATGTGCACCTAGTGCATATGGCTTTGGCATTGCCGATCTACACACATTTAATACCTACATGGATGTAGGCGTCTTCATGTCGCATTTTGTATGAGCAAAAATATAAGAAATGGTAAAATGTACCCTTAAACAGTAGTATCCAGCATAAAGCATTGTATGAGAAATATATGGTTGATTTCAACTGTTTAAACAAGTTTTTATATAATAAATACTTAATGGGTTTCGAAAATAACATCAAATCTAATCTCAAAGCATTTTGGTCCTTAATCAACTCAAAGCGTGCCTCCTCGGTTTTTCCAAATTCCTTGCAGTATGGAGGGAAGCGAATATGTTCGTAGATTTTTTCAAATCGAACTTTGTTAATGAGTGTCCACTGAGTAGTGAGTCCACCTGCAACAACACTTCCACTTCTTTAGATTTTGGATCTCTGCTCTTATCAGAAGATGATATTTCTTATGGAATACGAAGCTTAACAAATTCCAAAAAAGCGGACGTGCATCAAATATCGTCTTTTTTTCTCAAGCAATGCGTTTCGTCGATTTCGGAACCACTGCTACTTTTATTCAATTTATCATTAAAGTTAGGTCTTTTT